CAATGGATAGTATCCCAGCGAAGAGTGCGGCTGCATAGAAGACAGTCACAGTCAGCACCACTGCCTCTGCCACCGCCGCCACCATCGTCTGCCCGCCCAGCCTGTTTTCGTTGCCGCTGCTGCTCACTGCTGAGCTCTGCTGTGCCGAGCCTGAGCGAAGTACCTCCAAGCAAAGGCATTCTCAATACACACACACACACACAGACTGAAGAGAAGTGAGAGAGAGAGAGAGAGGCGAAGATACACAGGCCATCATCTGCTGCTGCTGCTGCTGTCGTGCCCGAGAGAGTCACCCAGCGCAGAAGAACTCACTGGTGGTGACGAGTGACAGAACGGATCATCATTCTCTGGGAGTGACGTCCACGCAGAGTCCCCAGAAGAGGTGTCCGGTGAAGCGCCCGAAGTTCGAGCTCTCTCTCCCCTCTCCACCGAATCGCTTCCGCTCTTCAACGGTGTTCTTTCAGCCACCACCACCACCAGCTGGAAGGGAGAACACTCACCGGAGAATCAGCTCCTCACCACCACCACCGCCGCCACCGCCACCCTCTACTGTTTCATCATCATCATCCTCGTCACAGCCATCATCCTCATCATCAGCACCAGCACAATCGGCACTCACTAGTGTTTGGTGTTTTGGTTGCATTTACTAGCCTAGCCTCTCTAGCTTCTCCTCCTGCACACTCCTTCATCGACTCTTCTCATCTCATCTGTTCCTCCTCCTCTTCTGCCGTTCACTGAGCACCAAGCAACATCAACATCATCCAACACATTCAACACACTAACTCACTCACTCACACACCCGTGCAATCATGCATTCATCACAGAGTAGAAGCAGCGCCGGCACGAACGGTGACGTGATGATGGTCGGCCCCAACTTCAAAGTTGGCAAGGAGATTGGCCGAGGCAACTTTGGCGTCCTTCGCCTAGGTTTGTTCTTTTGTTGTTGCTGCCCTGAGCACTACTCGCTTTGTCGATGTTTGAGCAGTTCCGAAANCCTGCACACTCCTTCATCGACTCTTCTCATCTCATCTGTTCCTCCTCCTCTTCTGCCGTTCACTGAGCACCAAGCAACATCAACATCATCCAACACATTCAACACACTAACTCACTCACACACCCGTGCAATCATGCATTCATCACAGAGTAGAAGCAGCGCCGGCACGAACGGTGACGTGATGATGGTCGGCCCCAACTTTAAAGTTGGCAAGGAGATTGGCCGAGGCAACTTTGGCGTCCTTCGCCTAGGTTTGTTCTTTTGTTGTCTTTTGCTGCCCTGAGCACTACTCGCTTTGTCGATGTTTGAGCCGTTCCGAAAGTAATATACTTCCTGTTACTCTACTAGGAAAAAATTTATACAATAATGAGCATGTTGCTATCAAATTGGAGCCGATGAAGTCGAAAGCTCCGCAACTACACTTGGAATATAGATTTTACAAAATTCTGGGCAATGTTGGTACGTAAATTATATTGCTCACCTGGATGACGTCAAGAATTTATTACAACAAACACTTTTTTCTTTCTTCCTTCCTTCTCTTCCTTCAGAGGGCATTCCCAAGATTTACTATTTCGGATCCTGTGGAAAGTACAATGCTTTGGTTATGGAGCTGCTTGGTCCAAGTCTCGAAGACATGTTTGACCTCTGTGATCGCAAATTCTCAACCAAAACAGTGATTCAAGTTGCCCTCCAATTGGTGCGTACTGTTGTGCCTCTTCTGCTTCCTCTTCAGCCCAAAACTAACCGGTAATGCTCTCGTTTCCATAGCTTAACAGGATAGAATACGTTCACTCGAAGCACCTAATCTACCGAGATATAAAGCCTGAGAACTTCCTCCTCGGCAAGCCCAACTCTCGGAAAGCCAATGTTCTCCACATAATCGACTTTGGTCTTGCCAAGGAGTACATTGATCCAGAAACGGGTAAACATATTCCATATAGAGAGCACAAGAGTCTAACTGGGACTGCTCGCTATATGAGCATCAACACTCACCTTGGAAAAGGTAAAAGTCACGATGATGATCATTATGGTTTCCCTTCTCTCTTTCTTTTGCTGACTCTGTTGCCTACTTTCCACTTTTTCCTCGTTTCCCCATTTCACCACCATCACCACCACCACCATCATCATCATCATCCCCACTTTGACAACCACCACCACAGAACAAAGTAGACGAGACGACCTTGAGGCAGTGGGACACATGTTTATGTACTTTCTCCGTGGCAGCCTGCCCTGGCAGGGCCTGAAGGCGGACACGCTGAAGGAGCGCTACTCGAAGATTGGCGAGACGAAGCAGTCGACGCCGATTGAAGTATTATGCGAAGGCTACCCGGAGGAGTTTGCCACCTACCTTCGCTACGTCCGCCGGCTGGACTTCTTTGAGACGCCCGACTACGAGTACCTGCGCAACTTGTTCATCAAGCTCTTTGAGCGAGAGGGCCACAAGAACGACGGCATTTACGACTGGACGGAGAAGCAGCAACAACAGGCAAGTTCACATTCCCATTGAGTGGTCATCACAATTTTTTCTGACGATCTTTTTCCTTGCTAAACACAGATGCAGCTGATGGATCCGCCTCGGGTACCTCGCGAGCGATACGTTTCATCGCACATCAAGGTGCGTCATCGGTTTGCCCTCTCTCCCTCTCCCTCACCATATTTGTCTTTTCTCTAATCTAATCTAATCTCTTTTTTCTTTCCCCTCTCTCACGTCAACACGCAGACCTCGACTGACCGCAACAACAAGAACGCCTGGTCGGAGAGGCAGGAGAAGTCTGGTCGCGCCGGTGGCGGCGGAGGAGGCGGCGGTGCGAGTGACCGCAATGCGATCCCAATGGGCAGTAACACCTCGGGCGGCGTGAAGCTGCTCGGCACCTCTGGTCTCACGTCCGCCGACCGCCACGGCGGCTCAGTCCAGGTGGTCAGCTCAACGAATGGTGATCTCACGACCGACGACCCGGCCACTGGTCACTCCAACACGCCCATCACCGGGCCCGTAGAGCTTGATGCCGTCTCGGAGACTAAGTAAGTGCATTTGCTGCTCTTCTTTGGATGCTGTTAGCATTGGCAAACCCCGTTTGCTGCTATCCATTCTCCTTACATGCGACTTATCCATTGCGTACCTTTCTCCACAGGTGTTGTTGCTTTTACAAGAAGAAGAAAGTCAAGTCATCGCGCAAGTAGGAGAGACACAGGCAGGAATTAATTTTATTATCATTATTGCTATTACTATTATCATCATTCACACTCTCCAAACACACACACGCTCTTACACTTCCCTCCCTTTCCCTACTTTTCTTTTCAATCAAACCGATACCGCACGAGACACAAAAATACACTCACACATACGCCCACACACACAACCTGTTTATACATTAATTTTTAGTATCCTTTTTACATCTTTAAATTATTTGATTTTATTCTTTTATATTGCTCCTTCTCTCGCCTGTTCTCTTCGCCGCTAATTTGTTGGAGACTGCGATTTAATTTAAGACTTGATTCCTTTCTCCTCGCCCTTTATCTCATCTTTTATTTTACCCTTTTCAAGGCTCCACCGGTGTAGCTGTGTCACCGCGCGCGCCCTCCCCTTTCTTTCCTTTCCTTTAGTCTTTTCTCTACCCTTCTTTATTCTTCTTTTGCCACTTTCTTTTAATTAACTTTCAACAACGACACAGAACAGTCCTAAACACTGCGCAAAAAGCAAAAAGCAGCAGCAAAGCAAGCAAGCCAACCGAATTCACTACAGACTAACCCAATTGTACAGAACATTCACCACCACCACCACCCCCTTCATTGCCCGAAATACCACAAGTACAACAACAACAACAACCACCATCCCCATCACCACAACCACCTTTGTCCCCCTCCTTTGTCTCCTGTCTTCTATTCTTTCCTCTGTTTGCTTTTACCACCTATTATTCTCGCCTTCTATCCTTTCTCCATTTTCCTCCCTTCGCCCCTTTCCTCACTCACAAACACACTTCATTCACTCTTTCTCCTCTTCCTCCTTCTCCTCTTCTTCTTTGTGTCAGCCATTGAGTATTCTGTGATTTTTTATTATCAATGATGATGATTATATTATTCTTTTACTGCTAGCCCTCTTTCTTTTTTTCTCTTTAACAAACACCAGCACCACTTCCGTCGTCGTCGTCAATGACTGTCGTCGATGTTGCTGATGCTGAAGTTGTTGCTGCTCTTGACGATGATGATGATGATGTTGAAATGATGCCCCTCAATTTCCCCCTCCCTCTCTTTCATCTGCTTTCCCTTCCCCTCCCTTGCCCTCTTTGTCTTCAGTTTGTCTGTTTGCCCTGAACACCACACAACTGCGAACACACAAACAAGAAACAACAACCCACTAACACACATTGACACACACACACACACTAATTTGCTGTGACAACTCTTCGCTTTCCCTTCTTCTCCGTTTCACTCCTTCACTGTTGAACATGATGATTGGCAGAGGATGGTCGTGTGTGTATTTGCCCGGCAAACATCATCATCATCATCATCATCAGCATAACTACCATCCACTGCACAACACTGAATCACTGAATCAAATACAAACTATTGCTACTACTGCAGCAGTTCTGCTGCGGCACTGATTGAGGGGCCAGCTCAGAACTCTGTTGATGATGATGATGAGCATGAACACAGAATGAATTCACACACAGGAACACCTTCTCCACCAGTCTCGGGAAATAAATGCATCGCTTTCAGAGAAGGCAAACCACTTTACTACTACTACTACTGTGTGCTGCTGTGTTGGCCAAACAAATCGGACTCATTTCTTGGCCCATTCATTGGGTGCACTACTGCAGCAGCACTATTCCCCTGGAGCTGCGTTATCAGTTAACTACCACCACAAGCACTGCACCGTAAAATCACTGTCTCTTGCACTCTCTCCCCCTTCTCCCGGTCGCTAATTACACCTTCAGGTATGGTTACACCGCTGCCGTTGACGATAACTGTGCACTCACTCTTTTCTTTCTTTTCTTTTCTCCCTTCCTTTATGTTCTGCTCCCAAGTTTGCCTCCGTTTCCTCAACATGCATTTCTTTCTGTCAGACACACACTCACTCGGTGTCCACGTTGCAGCCGCCGCCGTCTCTGTCTCACTTTTGCTGTTGGCATGTACGACCATCGTACGACTGTCTGTCTGTGTATGTGTCGGTGTTGCAGTGTGCTGGTGTTTGGTGGCTGACTTTGGTGGCGACCACCAACATCTTGACAAAGGGGGCGAAGGAATGAGAAACGGAGACAGACAGACAGCTCATGAGGAGAACACGTCGCTGGTCGTCAATAGGAATGCAATGGCGGCAATGCAATGGTGGCAGCAATCGATCACCACCTCAGCTCAGAGCAGCAGAAGCAGCCAGCACCTATAGTTACCGTTCGATGGGCGCCACTCTCACTCTCTGACGTACAACTTTCTCTCTCTCTGGTGCCCCTCTCTCTCCCATTCGGACGCCAACAGTGACGGTGATGACGTCCGAAAGTTGACTGAGAGTGCGAGACGGACGGCGGACACTCTGTCTGGAAGTGAGCCGCCAGTGGCTCACTCACTCACTCACTGTGCCTGTGCGCGTTCCAATTTGTCCTGCCGCATCCACACTATACATGCGGCTTATTAGTGCGTTGCCTAGTGATGGAAGCCAGCGAGGAAGAAGGGGAGGAGGACAGCTCTCTCGATCTCTCTCTCTCTCTGTACGGCACCGTACGGCTTACAGCTGACATGATCGACACGTGCTGTCAGCTGCTGGCGATGAGGTGCGTAATCACCTAATGCAAAATGGTGGCCCACTAATGGACACACACACTGATGGATGGATGACAACTGGTGATGAATTGCTGATGATGATGAGGTGACCACCACTGGTGGCGGTGATCAGCTCACGTTCATCTGGATCATTCCCGATGGTTGTTCACTTGAGTGTTGACGTGGTGGTGAGCTGTAGCCTGCACACTTTTTGATCAGTCTACCAAGTAAAGGTCAATTGGGTGCATGTGGCGCCCCGTGCTTACCGGCCCCGTGCGCTCTCTGCACAGCTCTGTGTGTGTGCGTGCCTTCTACTGCCACTCATCTCATCACTGATTCACTGATTGTCAAGAAGTGTTGGCGGCTCGACCGGTGAGAATGTTGACTAACCGAGGTACGGTGTCTGTCGACTAAGATCCAGGCAAGGCCAGTCAGGGCCAGTGAAGGCTATAAATGGTAGAACCAGCGTGCAAAGTGGGTCAGTCACTTTCAGACGATCAACTTGACAGGACCATCGCACATCAACTTGGCCTCCTTTCATCTATCGTCAACGTGCTATCACCTCTGCCCTCAAGTGTCCTCTCCCTCAAGACGACCCTGACTACTATGACCCCGAATCCCTGCAGCGAACAACGGTTCACCGGCAAGTCACTTTCACACCTTGATGACCTCGATCATACGATGTCCGTGTCCACCGCATCCAGTTTATCTTCATCCTCTTCCTCTTCTGACGAGGGCGGCAGCAGCAGCTCCGGCGAAGAGGGCGCTCCCTTTGAGGTGCCCAGCGCCCAGTTGATGGGTCGAATTGTGTCCGTCGTGGAGGGGCTCTTCAGCGACGAGAATCTGATCCGAGACGAGTTTATGAACAAGAACACGCGCAAGAACCGCGGCGGCTATGTCAATCTGAAGCTGCTGGCCTCTTTTCGAAAGGTGAAGTATCTCACGAAGGACTGGCGAGCGGTCGCCCACGCCATCGCCCACCGAAGCACGGCGCTGGAGTTGAGTGAAGAAGGAACGAAGGTCCGTCGCAAGCAGGCTCTGCACACGGTCGATGGCGGCAGCAAGTACGACCGGACTGTCTTTGTGCTCAACTTGCCCGCTGCCAAGGAGGACGTCAATCAGCTGCACCGGGACTTTGCCGTCTTTGGCCGAATTGGACTGATTCGCCTTCTTCGAGTTCCCAGTCGATCTAACGGTGGTGGTAATGGTGGTTCTTCCAGCCCCAGTATGAGTTCTACCATGAACAAGTTGCTCACCACGCTCGCCCAGCAGGTGCCCTCGGTGGCCGTCGACCAGGCGGTGGGCGCCGTGGAGTTCAACCAGCTTGAGGACGCCCAGAGCTGTCTGCAGTCGCACCACCGACTCATTGACTTTGACCCCGTCTGGTCCGAGGTGATGCTGAGCATTATCAAGAAGAGTGAGACCTCCAGCACTGGATGGGATAGCATTGAGTACACGAAACCGTCGCCAACTTTGAGGGTATCGCCCATTCCTAAAAGTTCGATGAGGACCACAAACACTACCTCCACCACCACCACAACTACTACTTTACCTCAGCTGGGCAGGACTGTGATCAACAAGCCGGTGGACGACCAGTCGATGATTGTCATTACAGTCACCTCGTCGGGTATCACCCTTACTTCCACCACAAGCGGAAACGTCCCGACTGCTGCTGCGAAACCTCCAGTGAGAACTCCCTTTTCGCCCATCATTCGTCAACCAAAGGGACCCGACGGTACACGAGGCTTTACTGCTCGCCGATAGCACCCCCATGTCAAATTGTCTTCCATTCCATCATTGCACGACACCACTTCCACATCTCACTGTACATACTTTTTGTTATTTATCGATTTACCCGCACTTTGTTCTTGCACTAATTTAATTCTTGTTCATTTATTTATTCTTATTCTTGAAATACATTTCTTTTTTTGTTTTTTCAATCTGATTTGTGTTTACCTTTGAGAATCTTCACTATTTTCACTCCGGTGGTACGCCGGCTGCCTGTTTCTACCCACGACACTTGTGAGAAAAATGCCGTTTTTCTCAAAATCCGGTAATCATTTTAGGTTTTAGATTAGATAACGAGTTATCTTCGGGTTTCTTTGCATGCAGAATATTAATTAATAGATCTGATAGCAGCTGTAAACAATCGTTTAAGTGATAATCATTGTGAGGTGTTCAGTAAATAATTGAAAACATGGGTAGAAGCGGTTGTAATTGCGCCTCTAGTTGTGGGCATCAGCGTCGCTCAGACCTTCGATCAGTATCGCTTCTCGGCCTTTTGGCTAAGATCAAAAGTGTAGTATCTGTTCTTATAAGTTTAACAACTTATATGGGGTCTATATGACCCTTGGATTGTTAACACAATTTTTGCGGGGAGGCGAAGAGTGTGGGCTATGCTCAACCTTCGCCACGGGTCGGCCTGGTATTGCACTTACCTCCAGGATCGGCCCACTTTTATAATCTAAAGAAAGAACTTGCACCCCTCTGCAAGGAGGAGGAATGAGGTTGTTTGCCTCATCTCCACCACCTTCAGCGGTCATCACTTCAGTTCGAACTTTGAAGTAAATCAGTTCGGCTGTTATGCTTTCACTCTCCTGAGATGCTCTCACTATGTTCACCGCAACCACAGCGACCTTGCATTGTGTTTGTCGGCCACGGTCAGCAACAGCTGCTGCTGCTGTTTTCACTTTCAGCCACCACTTTCTCTTTCACAAAAGTTGGTCAGTACTGCTGTTTGTACAGCCGCCGCATCAACAGCAGCTACTCAAGGATACTTCACCACCACCACCACCACGACCACTCGCCAAGAGAATCCTTTCCCTTCGATGCGCAGCGATCATTACAGCAGAGGTTGCAGCAGCAGGTGTTGCTAACTACTGCTGCCGATGCTGCTGCTGCTGCTACTGTTGATGCCGTCACAGAATGGCCATCTTCTCCCTTTCACTGGCAACCACTTAGAGTTGCCTTCTTCACTGGACGATCGTTATCTTCGGTCTTCAAGCAGCAGCACAACACGAGCCTCCTTCTGCAGTACCCATTTCGTGCCATCACTTTTCCTCTTCTCAACACTTTTCGATGCTCCTTCGACTTCTGGTGCTCTTCATAATCGCCTCCGGACTCTACCCGGACACCATCACCACCGTTCGCGGTGACACCTGGATCACACTATGGAACAAGCTCGATGAACCGCTGCGCATTCACTGCATGAGGGAGGGTGCCAAGAAGCTGCGAAGCTTCAAGAGCAAGACCGTTGATGCCGATGATCGGTATGACATCAAAGGGTGAGTTTAAAAAAATTGTGAACTGGTTTGGTTCTAAATCACCACTTTGACTACTTCAACCAAACCAGCATGTACCCGAAGAAGGTTCACTCAAAGTACTACCGCCACTGGTGTGAGCTGAAGGCGCACAATGCGACGCTCAAGTTTGACGTCTTCGGCGGCAAGGACAAGCGACTGAATCGCATGTCTGACTCCTACTCCGACTGGATCATCAACTCCGGCGGAGTGTATCGCTTTAGGAAAGGGCAGTTGATCCACTACTATGGAAAGAACTGGCTGGGCGAGGATCACACCATCGAGGACGACCTCGCAGGGACGCCCGAAAAGGAACTCAACACTGATGATTTTGTTTTCATGTGAGTGCTAAACACGATACTTCATCAACGCATAATACTCATTTTCCCCACTCCACACACCAGAGCACCACTGGACGTGGACATGAAGACGGCAAACATGCCGCTTGCTGAACAGCGGTACGCCATCACCAAGGCCACCTATGCGTCGCACAAGTTCGAAAACACCAGCGACATGTCCCGGTACGTGAAGGCCGCCATGGCCAAGAAGTTCGGCGCCTTCTGGGAGGTCTTTGTCGAGACGAAGGAGTCCAACAAGACCGTCAAGCGCACCTGTGATGTAAAAAATATCATGAACTTCACCGTCAACGATATGCACTTTATCGTCTGCAGGGTGATGCGGTGATCATCGACATGGTGTTGTTTACTTTTCCAAAAGAGAAAAAATCATAAAATGTATTATCACAATTGTAAAAATAGAGTAAAACCTAAAGAAAAGACATATCCCCTTGTTCTCTGGTCAGTCCTTGTTGCCCTGTTTGTTCTTTCCCTTNTTTCACCGTCAACGATATGCACTTTATCGTCTGCAGGGTGATGCGGTGATCATCATCATGGTGTTGTTTATACTTTGCAAAAAGAGAAAAATCATAAAACGTATTATCACAATTGTAAAAAAGGAGTAAAACCTAAAGAAAAGACATATGCCCTTGTTCTCTGGTCAGTCCTTGTTGCCCTGTTTGTTCTTTCCCTTGCCCTTCTTCTTGGACTTCTTTTTCTTCTTTCCCTTGCTTCTCTTGCTGGCGGCCTCTGCTTTCGCCTTTCTCACCTCTCGGTCGATCTTGTTGCCCTCTTTGACGAGTTCATCGCAAAAGATGTCCCGCTTCTTCTCATCACTAATAGTGGAGTCGTTCTTGACGAGGAAGAAGAGGACACCGCCGGGCGATCGACGCCGGTTTCCGTTGACCGTCATCATGCCGCCGGCGTCTTCAATGTCCAGCACTTCGGCGGTCAACCGCCTGGCCGCCTCTTCGCCAATCACCTTCACGATTCGACCTAAAGAGGAGATTTGAGAAGGTTAGAAAAGATGATAACCAAAATGGCCATTCTCATCATACCAATAATGTCCAGCCGACGTTCCTTCAGCTTTTGGGAGATCTCAGTGATGGCATCTCGTTTTAGTTGGGCCTTCTTCTGTTTCAGCCTCTGCGCCGGGGTCTTTTTGACGGCAAACTTGCGCTCAAAGTCCTCCTTCGTCCAGGTGTGGTAATTGTCGGACTCTCGTTCACCACCGTTTGCCTTCATTCGTCTTTTCAGTCGTTTCTTTTTCATAACCAACGACTTGCTCATCGTCTCGTTTAGCTCCTCTTCCATCAGAATCTCACTCCAAATACTGAACTTTTTCTTCTTCAGTGCATCTTTGTTGCCGTCGACAATCTCAAGTTTACTTGAGGGTTTGATCACTGAAGTGGTGTTATTGTTGTTGTTGGTCTCGTACTCTCCTTCAGGAGCTTCTTGTCCAAAAGCGCTTGTGAGTGCTGAAGGGCGATCCACAATCTCTCCATCTGAGTGATCAGATTCATCGCTCGATACTAGACACTGAAAACGCGTCGTCATTTTGTTGGTTGGATCTAGCAAATGATTAAAATGGTAAGTTAGTATAGATTCTCAATTTACTTCAACACATTATAACTTACAAAATACTCAAAGATCCACAACAACAAAAATCTGACGCAAAAGAATCCCCAACCACGTGCTTTTCTCTGGGGGCTGCAGCAGCCATAAACAGCCATACACTAACAGCGTTACTCTACAGCGACAGACACTACTTGATGGGAGCCGCGAATGACAACAATTTCAGTTTTTCCGCATTTTTATCAACAAAAATCATGACCGAGAANTACTCTCCTTCAGGAGCTTCTTGTCCAAAAGCGCTTGTGAGTGCTGAAGGGCGATCCACAATCTCTCCATCTGAGTGATCAGATTCATCGCTCGATACTAGACACTGAAAACGCGTCGTCATTTTGTTGGTTGGATCTAGCAAATGATTAAAATGGTAAGTTAGTATAGATTCTCAATTTACTTCAACACATTATAACTTACAAAATACTCAAAGATCCACAACAACAAAAATCTGACGCAAAAGAATCCCCAACCACGTGCTTTTCTCTGGGGGCTGCAGCAGCCATAAACAGCCATACACTAACAGCGTTACTCTACAGCGACAGACACCACTTGATGGGAGCCGCAAATGATAACAATTTCAGTTTTTCCGCATTTTTATCAACAAAAATCATGACCGAGAAGAATAAGTGGATCAATAGCCGAAATGTCAGCCTCCCGTTTCCCTATCCGATGCTGCAGAACAGTGAAGATGGCGGGACATCAAAACCAATTTGGCCTTTTAAGGACGAAGGCTTCGTGCTCATCAACGGAACGATTGACGCTGAGGAAAAGGTGGTGCTGGTGAAAGACGCCGGCGCCATTTTTGCCCTCAACAAGATGGGCTTCTTCGGCTTTAACTCCAGCAAGGAGGTTAACCAGATGTACATTGTTGAGCAGATGATCAGAAAAGCGGCTGCTGCTACCCGTCAACAGCAGAAGCAGCAAAAGGAACCTCAGCCAGAAAAGTCTNCTGGTGAAAGACGCCGGCGCCATTTTTGCCCTCAACAAGATGGGCTTTTTCGGCTTTAACTCCAGCAAGGAGGTCAACCAGATGTACATTGTTGAGCAGATGATCAGAAAAGCGGCTGCTGCTACCCGTCAACAGCAGAAGCAGCAAAAGGAACCTCAGCCAGAAAAGTCTGAAGAGACTGAAAGAGAAGAGCGGCAAACCTTCAAAGCCGGCTTCTACACCTTGGAGACGATTGACATTCCACCGGCTTGCACCAGGTTTGAGCATGATGCTAATCGAAGTGAGGTAGTTGCTAGTGCTGTTTGTCCAGTGCATTAACATTAACTTGGACTTTTCTCTTCTGTTGATCTTTCAGCTTAAGCAGCCGCAACAGCAACAGCAGCAGCAGCAGCAGCAAGGCACGCAAAGGTCAAGTGGTGACGACTCGACCACCGAAGCAAACCTTCCCACCTTGACCTCACTCAAACTGTGCTTCGAAGAGGCCTACTTCCTCTCCTATGCCTTCGGTCTGCTGTCCATTGCCAAAGAAGCTGCCGGCAGCTCTGCCGACCAGCACTGCTACGGCCTACTGGACCTCTGGAAGCGGCTCTCTGAGCTCTATCAGCCGGACGATCACAGTGCATTTGCCGCACGCTACGCCGCCTACCACTACCTTCGCTCGAAAGGCTGGATCGTCCGAAATGGCTTTAAATTTGGCACCGACTACCTGCTGTACCGTGAGGGGCCGCCCTTTGCCCACGCACTCTACTCGGTAATGGTGAGGAGTCAGGTGGAAGGGGGTGAAGAGTCGCCGGTGCCCTTTATGTGGAACGAGATCTCCGGTCTGACGCGCGTCTCGCGGAACGCCCACAAGAAGCTGATGATCTGTCTGGTGAGCGTTCCGCGGGCACTGCTCGCCGAGGTGGCCACCAGTGGGCCGCAGTGCATTCGCCACTTTACCGTCGACTGCATTCACGTCAATCGCTGGAACTCGAGCAAGGGCAGTGAACCATTTGACATCAGTCAGCTCTTCTCGGGCGACAGCAGCAGCAGCTCCTGACTCCAGTGCACTTCGGCACTCAACGCATCAGTTGTGTAATCAGTATGCTCTCTCACTAACACTCTCCCTTTTCATCACCCTCCCCACCAAAATAATTGCTGTTTATTGCTTATTATAGAACAACATTGTCGGACATCTGTCGCCAAGTATCTCTTTCATTTTGGTGCAGTGGAGTAGAAGTGCGATCAGGTGCCATCCACCTTCTACTTTCTACCTACCGCCGTCGCCGCCGCCGCCGCCGCTAATGGCCCATTCAGAGGAAGGGGAGATAAGGCGTCTGTGTCTGTATGTGTGGTTTTCTTCGCCTTTTTACCGTTAGCCTCCTCGATGATAGCCAATAGTGGCTGTGCCAATTACTGTAATGGACCAGGGGTAAGTGGAAACACACAGACTCGCACTCACACACATCGTTTTCTCTGTTTGCCTACCCATAATTCCCAATGTCTGTGTGTGTGTTTTACATGCCATATGGCCTCTTTCGTTTACCTGCATCAGCATCAGGTCGGTGCTGTGCTGTGTATTCTCTGGTACACGACTACATTTGTAGCAGCAGTCGACGTTGGTCTCATCATCTTCAATGCACGTCCTTCACTCTAAATGGGTGTAAATGGCGTAGATGTGTGTGTGTGTGTGTGCTTGCTGAGTGTGTTTGAGAGTGTTGTGCATCAGCATCGAACATGTTAATGTGCAGCTAATTACTGCTGCAGTGCCACTAATCGGGGCCTCTTGCTCCTTCGCTCTCTCACTTTGGTGCTCCTGCTGCTGATGTCGTCTCCGTGCGAATTGATCCACTATCAGCAACATCAGCTGCTGCAGCGTAAGTGCTCGGCAAATAGAGTGCCAGTAGTGAAAGAAAGAGAGAGGAAGAAGAAGCNATTACTGCTGCAGTGCCACTAATCGGGGCCTCTTGCTCCTTCGCTCTCTCACTTTGGTGCTGCTGCCGCTGATGTCGTCTCCGTGCGAATTGATCCACTATCAGCAACATCAGCTGCTGCTGCGTAAGTGCTCGGCAAATAGAGTGCCAGTAGTGAAAGAAAGAGAGAGGAAGAAGAAGCGCAAAGAAGAGCAGCGAAATGCCGATCCTCGGTGATGCTGCTGCTGGTGCTGATGGTGGTGGTGGTGGTGGTGGTGGTTGGAGGTGGTAGTGTCTCCCCTTCAACAGAGAGAGAAAGCACATCTCACTGCCACCACCACCGGCAACTATTGTTGCTCTGCTGTCGAAGTGAACTTTGCCATGATGATGATGTGGTCGTTGCTGCTGCCGTTCCCTCGCCGACCGATCACCCAAAGTATGCTGCGGCAACAACGGCAGCAGAGGTGGCGGCGGCGGTGACGCTTGAAGCTTATCGTTTTCCTTCTCCTTCTCTCTTTCTCTTTCGTTCTTTCGTTTGCATTACCACCTACTTCGGACTGCAGTGGTACTTCTCTTACTTTACTTTTTTTGTAGTTCTGGAGACTTTTTACTTAGCTTTTCCAGCAGCAGAAGCAGCAATGAGAGAATGTGCCTCGATGACTAGATGACTTGTTGTTCGTCGCCATCACCACCGCCAACACCATCACCAGCAGCTCCATCACCAGCAACGACCGCAACAGCAGTATTCGTTGTTGGGCAGCGCAGAGAGGTTTCCCGATAACTACTACCACCAGCACAATTGCCTTGTTTCTCCTCTGTTCGAATGGTAACCTCTGTTCGCCTAACTGTGCTGTGCTGTAAGTGCCTGTACTCCTCCTCAATGCTCATTGACTCTGATCGACATTTTGGTATGACAGTGGCAATTGCCTGCGTTTGTGTCCGTGTATTGATTGAAGTGAGTGTGCCCTGGGAGAATAAACAACGTGATTGAAACAGCGAGCGAGCGTCTGTGCTTGTGTGACAATCGCTGATCACTGTCGATCACGCCTGTCAGTGATCTGAGCACAACTACACATGTTTGTTTTGACTTTTATTTCTTTTTCTTCTTCTTTTCCTTTTCCTTCTTTTTCTCTTTGTGACCACATCTTGTTTCTCTGTTTTCACTGTCATCAGAGTGGTCGGCAGTGGTGAGCAGAGTAGGGAAAGGAAGGGGGAGGAAGGGAGAGCATCGGAACAAGGATGACGACGATATCTGGGCAATGCATTTGCTGCAATATCGATATCGTTCCTCGTTACCACCACCACAACAGCCATCATCATCACCATCAGCTACTTTGTTTCCTATTCATGCTGCAGGACACACAATCAGCCGCATCACCTAATGAGTGTGTTCTTTCCATCGGCTCTAAATGGAAGCACTTGTCTTTTGCTGCCGCCGCCGTCGCCACTGATGCAAATGCTGCATCGTCGTTGTCCGGCAGCACTGATTGATAGGCACCAGCAGCAGATATCGAGCATCTATCTACCGTCTGGGGTTGTGCATTCGACAGTGACAGTGAAAGCACTGGCACTGAGATTCTCTCAGTTTCTGATGCCTCGCATCTTTTCTTCCGGCAGTGCTGCTGCTTACTGAATAGAAGCGCGCATTATTTTGCTTGAAGCAGTTGCAGAGTAGCGCACAAGTAGGGTCGTCTTGCGACGACAAGTCAAAAGTGAGAGAAACTGGGAAAAAGAGAGAGAAAGAAAAGAGATGCACGATGTTTTCTATATGATGACCAAAAAGACAAGCGGGCTTCTTGCGGCTGCCGGAGTTCTTCTTTTCCAATCTCAGCAGTGGCAGTTCAGCAGTGCTTCTTCTCCTCCTGACGATCGCTGATGCCGTTGACTGGAAACTTGTGATGTGACTGGTGTGGTGACTAGTGGCAGTTGTCGGGCAGTACCAAATACCGTTGGACCACGCTGCCGTCTCTCTCGGGCGCCAGGCACTTCCCAAGCACTGCGCGCCTACAGTCGCCTCGGTGGCTCCTCTCCGCCATTCTTGCTTCCCATTCTCATTTTCCCTTCTTCCTCTGCCGCCACGGCCATTCATCTTGTACTAATGTGTAACCACTTTTGATCTCTTCTTTTCACTCTCTCCCTCCCTTCATTTCTTCCTTTTCCTCCTCTTTTTCCTCCATTTCCCGCAGCCCCCGTCTTGAAACAAATGCAAACACGCGGAGACGCGGAGTGAGGCACACATACACAGACAGACACTGGCTACCACTTGGCACTGCCTCCTCCACCAGCAGCAGCTGAGTCGGCAGCAACAACAGCAGCAATGCCAGTCATTCACTGACTAGCCGCCGGTCGTCGTGGTCGTGGTCGTAGTGCTTGTCATCCGCAAATTCTTTTCGCACTCATTCGTCCCATTCACTTCCCATCCGACTATCCCTTTATCTGCTGCTCTCTATAGGCGTCCACATAGTTACTGCCGCATAACTTCTGGTGCAATTTTTTTGGCCGCCGCATCGCTTTCTGTGTACTCTCTCGGTCAGTGGCCTTCCGCAACCCTGCAACGAAAATCATCACCATCATCAAAGAGTACCACTGACTGACTGACTGATTCTTCGCGTGCGTGCCGATCTCTCTTCTCATCCAATTCTGTCAAACATTTTTCACTACTTCCTGCGATTGTGTATGTAATTTGGCCTAGTGCCTGCTGCTGCCTCACTGAACACGGAACACGGANCTGACTGATTCTTTGCGTGCGTGCCGATCTCTCTTCTCATCCAATTCTGTCAAACATTTTTCACTACTTCTTGCGATTGTGTGTGTAATTTGGCCTAGTGCCTGCTGCTGCCTCACTGAACACGGAACACGGAACAGTGTGTGCACTATCCGATTCCGATTCTGGTGTGCACACACCAACCAGGCTATGTCGGTGCTGGTGGAGACAGTGGCGGCGGTGCGACCAGCACAACCACCACTACTACCACTATTCATTTGCAACACAGCACTCTTCTCTTCACCACTCCTAATTCGACCATTGACCGAATGACAGCAACGAATTGTTTCAGCATCATCGTTTTCTTTCTTCATCAGTGACTTTTGTATCATTTCATCATGATTCTTTTTATTCTTTTTCATTATCATCATTAATCTACATCAGTATCATGATCATCTTCCATGGTCATCTGTAACAACCACCATCACCACCACTCCTCTTTCCACTTCTTTACCTTACTTTTTTTATCTCCACTTCGGTTCATCACAATGAACACCACCACCACTACCACAAACGTGCCAAGCACTCCTTCGAGAAGAAGGAGGCGAAGAGAAGTCTGCCTTTGGAGACCGCTTCAGCTGAGGGTCGCCCATTTGCTGTCCATTGCCCAGTTTGCGGTAAGTGCTTAGATGTTCAGTATGTGTGTGTGTGTGTGTGTGTGCGTTTAGTCTGTTCGATTGAATCTACCTGTATGTTGTGTTCTAGAGGTGCCAGAGGCAATTAGTGCTAATGGCCAATTACCGTAGCCAATCGTCACCACTGTTTGTGTGTGTGTGCTGTATTTTTTGTAGTCTTGTTTTGCTGCTGCTGCCGTCCTCGTTAGATTGTGTCACTTTTGACACTAGGAAGCCAGCCAGCGTTGTAGCCAAACACCTAACCACAGCAACTGTCAACCCATTTCCCATTTGCCCCCTTCGGCAGTGAAAGAGAAAAGGGGAAAGTAGAACGATCATCATCTTTTTTCCCTTGTTGTTTTGATTGCTTCCCCAGACTGTGCTTGGCTGCTGCGACTTTGTTGTTGATGTGTTTGTCGGCGATGTTTACTCTCGGTCTTCGGCGTTCCTGTCGCAGTGTGCTGTACAGTGGACGATCTGGTACAGT